ATATATATATATATATATATATACTAATATGACACATTTATTTAGCGAAGGGTTTAAATCAACATTAATAAATAAAATGTTGCATCCATTTTCTATCACTTAGAGATTCAAGCAATGTCATTTTAATGTATACTTAACTTTTTTCAGTTTTTTATAATTTATCAGCAATTAATTAGTTTCTGTTTCCAAAAGAAATTAACATGACATTAAAAACAAATTGTTAGCCAATAATTAACTTGAGGGAGAAAGAATATCAGAATAATATGGTAGAAATATAATCACTTATGTGAGGAAAAGGCTAAAATAAAGGATCCTCTCACCTAAGCTTCTTCTATCTACCATTGGTGCTTTAATTTCAATAAAGTTATCTCACCCAGAAAAGTTCTGAAAAATCAGAAACTAATTTTGCAATGTTTAAAAAATATATCACTATAAAAATGTAACAGGAGTATATTTAATCAGCTTTTCTAGGTCGAGTTGAAATTAAATGTATTCAGTAACCGTTAATTTAATATTACGCTTGGGCAAAATAGGACACGGCACACAGGCGCCATCTCTCTTAGCCATAAAGCAAAATGAAAAGCAGAAGATAATACAACGCCATTTAATTAATGCAGATATGGAGTGATTATAAAAAAAGCTACATGTGATAAGAAAAGAGCTAACTATCAAGAGTAGCACAAATGGATACGTTTAAAACTGCTTGTACTGTGAGGGGCAGGACTGAACGAGGACATGCATTTTTCCTGCTACTTCAAATAGTTGAGAGGATGGTAAAAAAATGTTAAAATAAAGGCTTATTTATGACACAACTAATCAGAAATGTGTTTTAATGATTTTATGAAATCTTTCCCAGGGTTTAATTATCTGTGCAATGTGCATGTGCAATAACTTAGGTCTCTACTTTATAAAACATGCGTATCTAGTTATGCAAAAAACACCACAAAATAATAACAGTAATAATCCAAATGAATTAGTTATATAAAACACAATTTTCACATTAGTTTGAAGGCTATTTTCAGGTTATACCTTATTAATCTGATAAGTTATTCTCATTAGACTAACTATATCACTATTGACATAAAAACATGCTCAGGGTTCCTCTTCTTAAATGATTCTCTCATAGACGGAGCCACAGATGGAACCAGTTTATTGTCACCTTTTCTAACATGGAGCATTTATGGATCCGTGCTTCTATGTTCCTTTTAAAAACCTGCTTTTATCTCCCTCAACCCCAAGTCGGCCTCAGCAGAAGGCCGCCCAAACCGAGCCTTTTGCTGCTGGAAGTTCCTTCCTGTTAAAAGAGAGTTTTTCCTCTCTACTGTCGCTGCATGCATGCTCAGTGTGAAGGTTTGCCTTAAAGTCAATGACACACTGCAAGCAAATTGGTCACCAAACGCTCATCAACGAGGAGCGAATCCTGCAAAGTCAATGAGTCAATGCAATCAGCTAGTTTTCCTTTGACCTAATCTGCTTTTATTAGTCGATCAAATTGTCTCAGTAAAGTGCCATGAGCTGGCACGTGTTGTTGCTATATAAATAAACTGAATTGAATCGACAGCCAGTTCATCTAGTTTTAAGTCAAATATTATTTTGCACAGCATGCTCTTTATCAAACAAAAAATTCTTCCTGTAGTGCTGGTAACAAATTATCTGGAGAATCTAGTTTCTTTTCAGCAATTGATTAACAGTATCTGCACGCTTAGTTGAATTTGTTTAAGTGAAGAACACGCCTTTGTTCCAATATTTGCATTCTGAAAGTCAGCTTATCCTAATGATTTAGCTTGTTTTCTACTTCATGTATCCCCCTCATATTTCAGCCATCAATAGCCTTCTGCAGATCTCAGCATTACCCAACGAGCTTAACTAAAGCCAAACATTTATCTGTCCCAGCTGCCACAGCTGAGAGTTTTGTTTTCTCAAAGTGTTGCAGCAACTGTAATCTCTGAGTCTTCCTATAACATGACAAATGGGGAACAATCTCCCTGCAGAGTTTGATCAAACACAGTCAGGCTACTGAGCCAAGCTACTGACAGATTTACCAATACAAATCTTCCAGTTTCTCACTCTAGATAAAGTAGGATAGAGGAATGCACTGATAAGCACAGGAAAAAATTTAATCAAGATTTTACTATTGCTTAGAAAAGAGGAAATAATGTCGTAAAATTGTGCATGAAGAGGTTGAATGCATAGAAAGCTTGTTCATAGCTTGCAAAGGGTGTGAGAGGGAGTGTGAAGAAATAGGAGATGTACATATATCAATGCAATGTCTGGCGCTGGACCAAATCCTCTACGCTGCCTGAGCCTGCCAAAGCCAGGAGTTCTCTGCTCTAAGGTCGGGGAATTACTTTGACAGGAACCCAACCCAGCCCTGCATACTTGCTCTGCATGCTCGAACCAGGCTGTACCAGGATTCCCCCCGTCACGGCCGCTCATCTATCCCTTACCACCATCAGAGCTGAGTTGTTTCAGCCGTTGTAAAGGGGCCAAACTGAAACTGAAAAGCGTTGATGTGGAGTGCAACGGGAAATGAGATTTTGACATTCTGCAGGTCCCACCCAGAATCTAGTCAAATGTTCGCTTCAGAGAATGAGAAGGGAAACACAGAGCATCAAAACGAGTAAAGCTAAACCATCCAGTTTAAGGTTGAAAGTGTGCTAAAAGTTAAACCAAGTGCTTTCGATACAGGAAATTAAGTCACTTCCCTTAGCAGCATATTGGCAGCAGGACAATGTTTACAGCAGAACTTTATCCTCGCTTCTATGCTCTCACAGTCGCAGCGTCTCCTAACGCCTATTAATAACCTGTGGGCAAAATAAAAATCCCAAACTCTACACATTATCTTTCAATTTTCTGCTTCATCCTGGACTGAAATAATGAATCCTCCCTCCTTCAGAAATAGCATCCTGCCACATATGGGTGTGGGGGGGGATTTGTGTGTTGAACTAGGGCCTATCTGCAGGTAAGCCAGGGACAGCTGTTGTGACAGGTTGGGAGACAGCTCTGTAATTACCAGTGGGAGGAATCAGATTCCAGCAGCTGGCTAAATGTCTGTCTTCTTTATACTCTGCTTGCCTCACAACTTTACTGATGTCTTGCTTCACGGATTAACTGACGGCCCACCATTTCTAATGCTTCATCACATTTTATATAGTAAAATGACAATTTGGCCAGTAAACTATTCTGGATGTACTGTACAGGGCTTTGTGGTTGCTTCCCAGAGAGGAAAACGCACGCTGTTTGCGAATGAGCTAAATTACATGCGTATCAACATTATGGGAGAGGTGAGTTTGTGTGGTCTTCTAAGGAGGGATGTGGCTGAAGGAATTTAGCCTAATCCAAGATGAAATTACCACAATGGAGACTTAAAACTACTAAGTTTTAAAATGCTCTGCACACAAATATGCATCCCCGCGAGCTGTTTTGGATTTCAGGGAAGGTGTGAGTCACTCTTCAGAAAGGAATAATAAGACAACAGATTTGGTAATGAACACATGCGGTGCCCTTCCCTATTTGTTGCCACCTCTGCTAAAGACGTGTAAAAGACTGCATCTCTGTTGCAGAGGTGTAATCTCACTTTGCAAAATGAAAAGAAAAACCTTTTACAAGCTTCTATTCGTTTCAGGAAGCTTTTGCCTATCTTCCAAAGAAGATACAAAATACTTTTTTATTTATTTATATTTAACTTTTTGTGTCTTACAACTTTTGTTTCAGAACTTCCGGTATCTGTGGTAAAAATGACATAAAACAGGCCTACTTCTCCTAGCCTTACGCAAATAAGGGAAAGACAGGAGATCACAGCATTTGAGCAAACCATATGTGTGTTGATCCCTATAAAAAAGCAGTAAATGTATATATGTATATATTTGAAATGTAGAAAACTCGAAAGAACCTTATTTATAAGAATAAAGAGAATGCCAACTAGGTAAGGGAGTATAAAGTATCACTGTTTAAAGAATGGCATGCTGTATGTAAAAATAAAATTCTTAGTACTGGACTTCCCACAGAGAAGCAGAAGTTAAAGTTTCCCTTACTGCCCTGCATGCAGATTTTTCTATTTCATGAAACCATTTATCGTGGCATCGTTAACAACTGTGAAAAGCAAACATGGGTAAACATAGATGTGGTTTTCAATAGGTGTGAAAGGCTGCTTCTGTTTTTAGATATGAACTGGGCTAAGAAACAGGAGGGATGTTCTCTGGCATTCCTAGGAGCTAGGAAACACATGCTCCCCGCGGGCAACGGTTGCACCGGACCTGAGTCACTCAGCATCTCAGTGGCCATCAGCCTGCCTTCCTTCCTGCCAAGCTGCCTCGTCACAAACATGCTGCAAACACACTGATAATAAGCTCAGGAAGCATAGCAGAGAGAGAGAGAGGAATTGGAGGCCAGGGGACAGAAAAAGATTAATCGTTGTTAAAGAGATATGGGAATTGAAGGGAAATCGCTCAGGGAGAGATACGATGGAGGGCAAGTAAAATGATAAGCATGGGAGAAGTCAATTTCTCAAGTTACCGTTTAGGAAATTCCCAATCCCTGAGGGACGCTAACAGTGAAATCCAAAAGAGAAAATAAGACAGAGTAAAGGATCCCGCTTCACATGTAGTCTTCTCTTCTGGCTGCTATCTTTTTCTTTAGCTGCCACCTGAGCATAACAATATTATGCCCTTTATTTTGAAAGTAGCTTTGTTCTGCTTTTTGCTCTCCACACTCCAGAACATGGTCCATCCACTTCAAGTCTTTCTTTTGATGTGGTGGATGAAGGCAAGGGGGGGATGTGTATGCCTGCCTGATAAAGTGAGACGTACAGACATGCAGAGAACAATGGGGCATTGAAACCAAACTAAAAAATCATGTTTATCATAATAGCTTGGGAGCCATTGCACAATTATATCCGAAGACCATGTGGCTGCGCAAACACCAGAGGAAGCCTTGCCAAGTAAGCTGTGTTAACGAAGCAGTAAAAAAAAAAAATGGGCTGGATATCAAGAGAACGGCAGAGAGCATCAAATCGTTTGCAGCCAACTTGTAACTTCTGTGATCTCTGATCTCATTAAAACTGCCCAAGGATGTTGAAAGCAGTTCAAAAGATGTGCACATGGTAGAAGAGTTTATAGAGCAGTTTGGAACATTTTTGATTAGTTAAAGCTGTATTTTGTCATTCTCTGTATCGGCTTTAAGTGCTTCTTTAACCAGTTATGTCCACTTTGAGTCCTGTCTATTTTAGTAACTTACACCATGTGGAGCAGTGGATTTAAAACTTTATAACACCATTATTACTGCTTCAAAACACAATTACACTTAAATCTCAGGTGGGAGAGAATGTCAAATAGGTTTTTTTAATATGAACTGAAAAAGTATTTTCTCTGACCAGCTCAAAATTCAGTATGGAGTCCTTTCTTTTAATTTCGTACTTATTTAATTTTCCTTTGGGAAAAATATCATGTTTTTTAATTGACTTCCAAGTGAATGCTTATATTTTGTAAGAACTATAAGATTATACAACCTTCTCAAGTTGCTACAATATTTGACTTTACAAAAGGCAGAGTAACACAGTTAGCTGGCACTAATAATTAGCTTGATCACAGAGCATATCAATTCATTCTAATATCCAACTTTAAATATAAATCACTGAATATATGACAAAAGTTATTTCCTCAGTTTCTCTGTAAGTTCTTAAAACTGCTGCTTTACAAATTTCTAAATGTTTCAGACAAAAACAGCAGAAGTGTGAACAAATCATCTTTTTTGGGCAGCTGGCGCTTTTCGGCTCCACGTTATTTATTATTTTTTTCATTTTATTTTTTTAAGTGAAAAGTTTTGGTTCTCCAAATACTGCTCTGTGTTCAGAGTGTTGTGCAACATCCTGCAAGTGAACGTAGAAGCATAAATCACAGCCGTACAATTATCTGGCATGCTTACAGCCATCCTTAGGCCATCAGCAATTGCCCTCATTTTTGAAAATTGGTAATGCTGCTCTAGGAGTCATGATTAATGCCTTGCTCCTTCGAGTTAACTTGTACTTACTGGTCATGTTGAACTTGTTCAGCACTTTGGCGAAGTATTCCTCCTCTTCCTGTTCTGGGGAGATGGAATCCATGACTTCCTTCTGTTGCTCTATAAGCAAGTCCTTGGTGCTGTTGTAGAGGGACAGCAAGGTGGCTGGGATATCCTCCTTCTCTCCAGCTTCTTCTGGCTCAGGAGCTTTAGGCAAACGCAGTTTGCAGAGGATCTGGGTCCTAATAGCGTCTATGCGCTTTTGCTTAACTATCTCTAAGTCTAAAGTCTTACATGTGGACATACTGCGCACGTTCTCTAGCATGTGCGCAGCCATCAGCAGCAACAATCCCAGCTTCATTGTAGCAGCGTCACAACTCAACCACTTCTCCACTTTGATTCTTAGGAAATCCTGCCTCACCTTTTTGTTTCGCTGCCTGCCTCCAGTCGAGGATGCTTTGGGAGTAGTGAATCACTCTGAGGAGAGGTGTGACTGACGCAAGGTGTTTACACACAACAGAACAATTATAGCAGTGTGGAGAGTCCAGAGAGTGCCACAGCTGTCCCTACTGCTGTGAAAACCACCTAACACTCGTCTTGTTTGCATAGAAGCAGATAGAGAGAATCGGAGTGGGCAGGCAGACGGCGAGGGTTGAGCCAGCCTCTGACTAGGCCACAGAGGTAACCCAATGAAGGTCTACACTATGAAGTGAGTCCAGAGCAGAGCTGTCAAAAGCTAAATAAAGCTCATCCAAGCATAAGAAGCTCTCCAAACACTCGCATGACTTCTCCAACACCCAACAGGCAGAAATAATCTGACAGCTCTCAGATCGTCAGTCTTGCCTCTGTGCTCAAAGATCAAATTGTAATTTCAAGTCTTCCACCTGCAATATTTAACGTAATCCTGTCTTAGAGCAAGTTTATACCTCTCCACGTGTCAGCTCTCTGCTGTATTGCTCACTAAGCAGTTTCTTATTACATGTCCCCAGAGGCAAAAGGAGCAAATGTGAAAAGAGCTGCAGCCCAGTAAGAAAAAATGATGACGAGCACTGGCAGACACTGACTTACTCACTTTCTATGCCTGAAGGCTATTAACCTGTCACTGCCTTTAGTTTTATCTGAAACAGACTTTCCACACAGTCCAGTTCTTACTATTTTAGATGGATCGAATGTCAAATATGCTTCCTCAAAAATGATTTTTAAAATAGAAATGCACACTGAGCCTAAAGTAGAACTTTGAAACACTCCCAGACTTCTTCATACACTAGAAGAAAAACATGTGACAAACAAGGATGGCGCTCAGCTCAGACTACCTCTTTTCACAAATATTAGCATGTGATCTGTACGCAGCTGCATCAAACCAGCTTTCAACGCCTCCAAGTCAATGACAGAGCAGCTGCCGCTCTATCTGCTGTGTTCCTCTCATGATAACGCAAGGCAATCATCTGCAAGTCCACTACGTCAGAAATAAAATGCAAACAGGCCTGCTATCAGATGTGTAGAATGACAGTCTTAAGGTAAGTATTTAGGTATCAGACACACCTTCTCTTCACAAGAGAGCACCATCCAGTCACAGCAGCAGTAAACCTCAGCAGCAGAGGAGGAAAAACCCTGTTAGGAACTTGATCGCAGTCTTTCCTCTATCCATCCACTGGTGTCACCTCGTTTATGCCCTCTACAGCTCCTTCACACCTTCTCCCTTAGAGTCTCCTCTGACACAGCTTCCTATACTCTCACCTTGTCTTTGTCCCTGCTCTGTTTTCACCCTCTGCCTGTCAGAGCTTGCTGTTCAAAAAGTGATTTGTGGGAGCTCCCAGCTCAGATAACTTGTAAACCCTCTCTCTCTCTCACTCTCTCTCCCCTCTACTTTTTCTCTTGTTCCTGTTAGTCTAATAGAGCGAGAAGATCTCCGCCCAGGAAATGAAGCTAACGGCAGAGAAAACATCTGCCTTTTGCTTATGCTGCCTTACTTGTGTTTTAGCTTGACCAATTCTTTTTTTCTGTCAGAGCAGACAGTGACAAATGTCAACAAGTCCTGCACCAAACAACAGTCTCACCAAAGCAATGCCACATTTACCTGGTCCCTGCAAAGTTGGAAGTCTTAAAGCCCATGAAGGAGAGCCTATTATATATATATATATATATATATATATATATATTATATTCACAAAATATAAATGAGACTTCTGTGAGGTGAAGAGTCAACAGGGCAGGGCCGTGTGGTGCCCTCTCCCAGGTCTAAGTGCTCTTTAAATGTTGGATTGTGTATTTTCAGAAGGAAGGCAAGACTAAAACAAACTCAGAGATTTTTTAGCTATGGGAGCTCTCTCCGTAGAGATGATTAAACGGGGAAACAGTGATGCAAACTGAAAGTCCCAAGGGGTGTGCCAATTTATTGTCATCTATATATTCATCTAAAGAATAAAGTTATTTGTTCAATGCTGACATTTACAAAATGAAACTCAAAGAGCAGAAATCCCCTAAAAACCACCAGGTGATAACATTGATTTAAATAATGAAACTAAGGTTTATATTTAGGTTTAAGGAACACTTAATATCTGATTATCTTTCCAGATAATAGTTTGAAACAAACAAGAGATTTTTGTCTCTGTAGAAGGTTAACAGCTACTATTTAAAAAACTGTTTAAATGAGTGAACACTGCCATCTGGTGGAGGAAGATCATTTATGGGAATCACTAATATATAACAAAAAAGTCACTCAGACTTGACCTAAGGTCTAATTTTTCAAGAGAAATTAGTGTTTATGGCTCAGAGAAAAACCAAAAATCTGACGCAAATAATAGTAAAACAAAATTAAAAAACAAACAACACTGAGTAAAAGAAGAGGGACAACATGAGATCAATTCATAACAGCAGAATCATATAATTTATGTAACCCGATATACTTTCCCTTTCTCTCCTGGTTAACCTCCAGTCATGAATCAGATGAAGTTATAAAAAGAACAATTTTCCATAATCCTGTTTATAAATTAGTGTCTGAATGAGCAAACGTTTACAGAAAGTAAAGATGCCAACCGTTTATGGTAACTGTTATGGTAAATGAACACAACCATGAAACGAAATGGAAATTTGTTATAACTAAACACACTACTTACAAAGATGCACTAAATGTTGCTGTAACAACTATACCTCAGTGGACGCGCCTCTGAAAACAGTAACTGAATCTGTACAAGTCTCCAACAAGTCTGACCGATCTACCATGAGGATTTTGTACCTTCTGCGTTTTACCACGAGGCCTACATGCCAGAACCTTGAGGTGTCTGCCCTTGCCAAGGGGTGGGGGGTTCATATGCTCCTTTCCCATCATTCACAATGAAATCCTGGAAAACTCTGAAGTCTCTGAAGAAGGATGACAGGAGAAAGTGTTCTCAGTCAACAAGGAGGTGCGATAGTCAATAAATCATAGCCACATTAGAGCATAGACTTTCACATAAAACCGTCAGATCTCTAAAGCTCTCTGATGTCCTTTCAGTGAGCAGAAATGCTGACTTTTTACAATGAAGACTGAAATCAAATACATTTTTTAGCACATTATACCATTTCACAGTTTGATGTTTTATATATATATATATATATATATATATATATATATATATATATATATATATATTTATTTATTTATACATATATGTCTCATAGGAAATATCCAAATAATATGCAAATAAATGAAACCTAAATTAATTTCAGAGCACTGAAAATGATCAGCTGAAACTGTTATAACTCTGGAGGGACAGTCACATTTCCCTTGCAACAGAAATTTCATTAGAAATATAGACAAACACATGGTTGACATAATAAAGTTCAAAGTACATAATGTTGTATATACAAATGTAATGAGGTAAAACCTGTTGCAGAGGAAGAGCACCCTAGTAAAATGACACAATAGCTATAAAAAATACATTTAAAAGTATTTAGGCATAATTGTGCGGGCGTCTTAAAATTAACAATTGTATTAGATAATATAATATTCAGAGACAAACTTAACAACATATTAATAGGCTGGATGCACAGGTGTTTAAATAAATAATAATAATTCATGATGTTAGATAAATTGGTTGTCTTCATCCAAAGTTCAATTTGAGTCTTGTGTATCAGCCTAGTCTTATATTTGAATTGCTGCCCTATTTAAAGAATCTAACTAGTTGTGTCCTGATCAGTTCTTTGACTATTTAACAGAATCTGACGTCATTTAAATAAAATTAAACCCCTGAAGCCTAAATCAATATCAAAGGAGGCTATTTTAGCAGGAATAAAGTAGCAAATCACAAAAGTCGACAAAAAAATCTAAAGAGGGGAATGCAATATGCTATATAAGATCAAAAATAATTATAATACTTCTAAAACTGTTGACTTATTTGAAAACAATTTTATTTAATCGATTTAAAGTTACAAAACGTATAACTGAAGTAATATACAGTTGTAAAACTTGATAGCTAGGTTAGCCAGTTCTTGTCTCCATGGTTACAAGCAAATGAACTTCAAACAAGAATCATACTTTTTCATAAAATATTAGAAACTTATCTCGAACATTTAAATGCTTATATAACAAACGAATGGCTATAATATGAATAAAACATAACTAAAATGTCTAAATGCTATGTGCTTTACTGTTAGCTGCCGTGGTTAGCAAGTTATATTCTCTATGGTTACAGAACGTAACCATAGTAACTCACGTACCTGTTTTTACGTAACAATATTTAATATGGTAATCTTGACATAAATTCTGCTTTTTAATAGATATGACTGATTTCTAGTAAGTGCATTTACATTCAGATTATAGCGTTAACTCACTGAAGCCGCCACCCAATGCTTTTTTCCAAGGAGTACGTAAACGCTCTACGCGATTTTAAATTACGTAACGTAGCTCTGTGAGTCGCTATGGGTTTCTTTTTCCCCTGCGTTTGTTATTAGAGGTAAGTAAAGTTTTCTTTCTCTCTCTTTGTCGTCCGTTTATTTAGGGCTAAATCTAAGGCTTAGGCCAACAGATTAACATTTACCGTATGTGAAAATGTTTATTAAGTAGAGAGCGGAGCACAAAGAGGGAAGGGAATATACTCAGGTGGGTTACCATGGTAGTTACGCAGTGGCTGAGCAGACAGCGCAGGAACCTCCATAGTAAAACAGCGACAATAACAGTGTAGAAAGCTGTTGGAAGCTTTTATTTGACTCTGCGTTTTAGATTCTTTTGGTGAGTGTGTAAACGTACTTTTAAGCGTTAACTTTTTTTAGCTAAACTGAGGGAAAAAAAAAAAAAAAAAAAAAAAACAATTCTGCATGAGTTAATTTATTTGATAAACATCCAGCAGTAACACAGTCAGCATTGTATTTGTTATTTAAAACTGACCTTGTCTATTTTTTCTTACTTCCTTTGCAGAAAGTGATGGAAAAATATGAAAAATTGGCTAAAATTGGAGAGGGCTCCTATGGTGTGGTGTTTAAGTGCAGGCACAGAGATACTGGTCAGATAGTTGCCATTAAGAAGTTTGTGGAATCTGAAGATGATCCAGTTATTAAAAAGATTGCACAGCGAGAAACACGTATGCTGAAGGTGAGTAGAATATATCCTTTACATTATGATCTTTATAGTGAGGAACACCACTCTGAATTCAATTTAGATCCATCAATACTGTGACTATTATAATCTTTTTAAATGTAAAACACTAAGTCATTTAGCATTAGTTTATACCTTTTCTTTCTCTTTTGTTACCTGGTGGTTTTGCAGCAGCTAAAACATGTGAATTTGGTCAACCTATTGGAGGTCTTCAGGAGAAAAAGACGTCTCCACTTGGTGTTTGAGTTCTGTGAACAGACAGTCCTCAATGAGCTGGACAAACACCCCCGAGGGTAAGACAGACGCAGGACAGAATCAAAAACTCTGTTGCATTAACATCTGCTTAAGTGCTGGGAACTATGTTTTCACTAAAGAAATGTATAACTCATATTATGCACCAATCACACTTTTCTTGGCTAACTCTGATTTCCTTCTTTTCTGGTCTGAACGGCCTGTTCAGATTTTGACTTATTCTGATATTTTATTTTAAGTAATATAGAGTACAAAGCCTACTGTCAGTGTTAGTAGTTACTAAAAAAATACACCCAACATCCCGCTGGCAGCTGACACTTAAAGGGGGATTATTTTCTATAAATGTAAATGTCAAAACACACACAGCGGCACTCTTAGTGAGTATCACCCTTTATAAAGAAAGAGGAGGGAAAAAATTAATGAGGTGCTTTCAAGATTTTAGATTCACAGGGAAAGAAGACAAGATCTGCATCACCTGAAATCTGATTTATCTTTAAAAAAAAACACACACACATTAACTTAGGTTTATTGTATAAGTATGTTCCTTTGACAAATGCTAGTAAAGATTATCAGTCATCCAGATCATAGTCATTCTAAAAAAGTTCAAAAACAATCCACTTGATTCGTACCCAAAGAACCCAACCGACTCCCCATTCCTAAGGGGCGGACCTGTTCTTCTGGTTCAATTTGCATGTTCTTTAAGCCAAAACAAGTTTTTGAGCTACAAATATAAAGCTTCCAACTCAACGCTAATTCTGAAAATTTGAATTGAGAAAGATCCCTGGATGGGAAGCGAAACATCTTAAAACTTGGAAACAAAGTCCAGTGGATTGTTTTTTTGTTTTGTTTTTTTGGAACTTCCATAGACAAAACTATTACAAAAACATAAAGTAACAGTTAAATACCAAAAGAGGAGATTACACACAATAAAAGAAATCTATCAACTCTATTTAAATGGCACTTTACATGTCCAAAGGGCTCTACAGGACTATAAAATAAAAAAAAGCAAAAACATAAAGCATCTACAGTAAAACTTACTGAATAAGAGCAGCTAAAATTATTTAA